CTGACTGAGCCAGCCAGGTGCCCCTTAAAAAACTATTTTGTAAAATTTCAAACACATACAAATGTAGAAAGCATAGTATTTTATTTATTTATTTTTAAAAGATTTTATTTTTTAAAAAAAGATTTTATTTATTTATTTGACAGAGAGAGATACAGGGAGAGAGGGAACAGAAGCAGGGGGAGTGGGAGAGGGAGGAGCAGGCTTGCTCCTGAGCGGGGAGCTCAATGCAAGGCTAGATCCTGGGACCCTGGGATCATGACCTGAGCTGAAGTCAGACACTTAGCGACTGAGCCACCCAGGCACCCCCAAAAGATTTTATTTTTAAGCACCTCTACATCCAAGGTGGGGCTCGAACTCACCACCCCAAGATCAAGAGTCATATGCTCCACCGACTCAGCCAGGTATACTGAGAATAGTTTATTAAAAAACAAAAACAAAAACAAAAAACATGTGATAAGCAATCCCGGTCGATCTTTTATCATCTATACCTCTTTCCTCCCATCACTTGATTATTCTGAAGGGGATTTTAGGCATTCCATGATTAAATACTGCAGTATGCATTTTTAAAAGATAGAGATCCTTAAACAATAACAATACCATTAACACATCTAATATAACAATAATTCCTTGATATCACCAGAGTCAAGATTGAAATTTTACTGACTGCTTTATAATATCTTTTCCAGTTGCTTTGTTCAAATCAGGATCTCCCTCCACCCGGCCCAAATGTCCACATATTATATTTGATGGATATGTCTTTTGATCCATATACATTGCATTTGCTTGGTATGATTTTTTAAGCCCCTTTATGCTTCAGACTCTCTTTCTCTGTGCACTTACCTAAATGCTTTACATGCATGAAATCACATCGTTTTTCCAGAACACTGTGAAGTAGGTACTATTATAATTTCCATTTTACTACCGTTGAGGGAACATAACAGTTAAGTGATTTAAGTTCTCACAGTTATAGAGCACCAAAGCTGGGATTTGGATACACAAATCATATTCACTGTGTTTTATATAATATGTAAGTCTTTAATAAATGCTCCCAAAACGGTATTGTGACATATTAGTCACCAATAGTATGAAGAAACGATTTGCTCACGGTAGACTAACACTTGTGAATTATGTAATATGTTCTATTTTAGAAAAGTGTGAATCCTTACATTCTGGTTTCTTGCATGTTTCAGTGACTCACTCTCTCTTTCTCTCTCTCTAGAGCTGTGTGTTTGTGAGCTCTACACCCACGGTGGGGCTCAAACTCATGATTTCAAGATCAAGAGTGGCATGTTCTCTACTAACTGAACCAGTCAGATGCCCCTCAGTGACTATATTTGTATTCCACTCCATATCACCCTTCTTTTTTTTTTCTTAAGATTTTATTTATTTATTTTTATTTGACAGAGAACACAAGTAGGCAGAGAGGCAGGCAGAGAGAGAGAGGAGGAAGCAGGCTCCCCGCTGAGCAGAGAGCCCATGCGGGGATAGATCCCAGGACCCTGGGATCATGACCTGAGCCGAAGGCAGAGGCTTTAACCCACTGAGCCACCCAGGCGCCCCCATATCACCCTTCTTAATGCAAATATACAGAGAATGAATGCAAGTGTTTCCCCCTGTCTTAGGGTGAAAACAAAACAAACGTAGGTTTATTTATCACTTTTTCTAATTTAAAAAATTACATAAGCAAAACCCATAAGAACACTAACTATACATATAGTAGAAAATGAGGTAAATTAAATTATCTTCAAGTTCGCATCTTTTTTTTTTAATTTTATTTTTTTATAAACATATAATATATTTTTATCCCCAGGGGTACAGGTCTGTGAATCGCCAGGTTTACACACTTCACAGCACTCACCATAGCACATTCAAGTTCACATCTTTGGTGTATATCCACTTGTGTCTGTGTGTATACTCAAATATATACATACACTTAAGTATATATTTTATTTAATTAATTAATTAACTTATTTATTTGAGAGAGGGAGGGGGAGCATGAGAGGGGAGAAGGTCAGAGGGAGAAGCAGACTCCCCATGGAGCTGGGAGCCCGACAGGACTCGCTCCAAGGGCTCCGGGATCATGACCTGAGCCAAAGACAGTCGTTTAACCAACTGAGCCACCCAGGTGCCCGATAAGTATATATTTTAAAAAGCAATTATATGATTATATTATACAAAGTTTTCTTTTTTTTTTTTTTAAGATTTTACTTATTTATTTGACAGAGAGACATCAAGAGAGAGGGAACACAAGCTGGGAGGAGTGGGGGAGGGAGAAGCAGGCTTCCCATTGAGCAGGGAGTCCTTTGTGGGCTTCAATCCCGGGAACCTGGATCTTGACCTGAGCGGAAGGCAGATGCTTAACAATTGAGCCACCCAGATGCCTCTATTATACAAACTTTTAAAACATGATTTTCTCACTGGAATATATTCAGATATATGAAAAAATTGGTTCTTTTAAAATAACGTACACCTATTGTAAAATATCTAAATGGTAAAGAAGATATAAAAAGAAAATCAGCTATCTATTATATAGACATACCATTATTTATTTAAGAGTTACCCTATTACGGTTATTTAAGCAAATTTTCTCATTTTCTACAGTCACAAGTAATGCAGCAAATATCTTACATATATTAAATAATTTCTTGAGCTTTTACTTTTTTTTTTTTTTTAAGATTTTTTATTTACTTGACAGAGAGAGACACAGAGAGAGAGGGAACACAAGCAGGGGGAATGGGGGAGGGAGAAGCTGAGCAGGAAGCCCAATTCAGGGCTGGATCCCAGGACGCTGGGATCATGACCTGAGCCGAAGGCAGACGCTTAATGACTGAGCCACCCAGTTGCCCCTCTTGAGCTTCTAATTTTTCTAAATCTCCAGTAAAGGATGGTCTAATCCTTCCCGTAATTTCTCATTTTTAGTACTACTTCTGTACCATGCCTCTCAAGTTCCACATACATACAAAAATGTCAAAAATGATTGACAAATGAAACATAACAAAACATCTAACATGTAGCAAGAAGCAAGCATGTGATGCCAAATTATCTGTGTGCGGGAGAACAAGTTAATATTTCAAAAGGGGGAAAATACAGTGCGCCTGGGTGGCTCAGGTCATGATTCCAGAGTCCCTGGATTGAATCCCTGGATTGAGTCCTGCATGGGGCTCCCAGCTCCATGGGGAGTCTGCTTCTCCCTCTGACCTCCCCTCTCTTGCCCTCTCTCACTCTCTCTCAAATGAATAAATAAATATATATTTTTTTTTAAAAAGGAAGGGATACAGCTTAAATTGGGATAGTGGAAGGGTGGAGAGAAAGAAAAGACTCAACTGGGCTTCATTTCCTATAAATTTAAGGATTTTTTTCATATATACATGTTTGTGATATAGATAGATCAATCAATCACAAACAACCAATTGACCTTTCTGCTTTCTATTTATGTAAAGGAAATGCCATCTATTTTCTTTTTATTTGAGTATAGTTGCCCACAATGTTACATTAGTTTCAGGTATACAACCGTAGTGATTGGACAAATTCATCCATTATGCTACGTTCATCATAAATGTAGCTACCATCTGTTTCCATACATCTCTATTACAACAAGTTTAAGGATGTTTTTTAATTCTGACAGTTCACGACAATGGAATAGAAGTTGAGTTGGGACTTTGGAGTTACTTGGATTTGATAGTTTAAGTCCTGGTTTTGCTACTTAGTAATCATGTGAATGTAGACACAGTCATAATCTCTAAATCAGTTTTCTCATCTGTAAATGGTACCTTATGGGATTGCTAGAAGAATTAAATGTGATAACACATGCAGAGTTCTTAGCTCAATGCCTGGCACACTGTAAATATAATGCAATTTTATACATGTGTAACTTAAACAGTATCATACATTTAGCCAGAAGATAAAAGACTTTACTATCTAAATGTGAAATGTAGTCATCAAGTTATAATCCTGAATACGCAGTCTTTTCTTCTGAGCAATTCAAATATTTCATGGATGATATTTTTTGCTTTCATATTATTTTATGTGATAGAAATTAGAATAGTTTGAGAAAAGTTTAAACAGGTCAGAGGGTGAAATATGTAAGAATTTCCAGAGGAATAATATGACTGAAGGAGGAAAAGTAGAGGTGGGCTCCCGGGTGGCATATTCTGTCTCTGGATGGGAATGATTCCGGAAGGGGCAGAAAGTAACATTCTTTACCGTGTGTCACTCAGAATAAGGTATGTTACAAGATCGTCAAGTGAACTGAACGAGAAGTCATGTTTTGCATCCTTTGTATACTGTACAGTTTAAAATGCATTTTCACATCAGTTATCTCCTGTGGTCCTTGCAACAGGCCTAGTGGGTAGCCAGGGCGAGTATCGAGGTCCCCTTGTCGCTCAGGGCCCCTCTGAGGGGCCCGGAAGAGGGGCCTCGTACAAGTTCATACGAGTTTAGTCTAGAGTTCACTCCGTGACACGCTCCTTCTCTCTTCACACATCCTCTCCTTCAACAGCACGTACTGAACTCCAGGATGAGGTCAGGATGACAGACTAACCCAGTCCCAACGCCATAACCTCTTATACACCGTCTCCGGGGAGCGGGAAGCCCATCAACGCCGTTCCGGAGAGAACACCTCGGGTCGGCCGTGCAGAGAACACCCCCGAAGGCGCGTGTGCAGCCGCGGCGGACGGCGTCGGGCGTCACCGGGGGGCCGTCCCGACCAAGGGCAGGGGGCTGCCGTCGCGTGTCCAGGCGAGCTGCTCGCGCGGCCCAGTGGCCGGGCGGCGGCGGCGGCCCCCCCTCCTCCCGCGCCATCCCCCGGCTCCGGGCCGCGCGTCTCTCCCGGCGCCGCACACGCTGGCGGCTCGGCACGCGGCTCCGCGCCGCCCGCTCCTCCTTAACCCGCGCCGGGAGGTGGCGGCGGCGGCGGCGGGCGGGGGGGGGAGGGGGAGGGGCGTGGAGCGCGGCGCGGAGGCCGGGGAGGAGCCGGGGCCTGCAGCGGAGCCGAGCCGAGCCCGAGCCCGAGCCGAGCCCTGACACTGTCCGTCCGCCTTCTGACTCCCCGGGAGCCCGGACTGGCCGGAGCCCGAGAGGTGGCAGCGCCGGGGGCCTCACGCGCCGAAGGGAGCGGACCGGACGGGACGGGACTAGAGGAGGCGCTGGCCACAGTAGCCAGGGACCGGAGTCGGCAGCCGCGGCCTCCCGGACCCTGCTGCCCAGGCCAGCTCAGGGAGAGCGGGGAGTAGGAAAACCCCACCCTCGGGGGCACCCCCGGAGCGGAGGCGGGCGCGGGGACGGGAGCAGCCTCTCTCCCTGCTGGAGCGGAGACCCTTACCGCCACTCGGGCGAGGGGAAGAAGAGACCCCTGTAGGGGAGAGGAAAACCCCCATCCTGGCCCGGGAATAGACCTCCAGAAGTAGAAAGGGGCGATCCTGCTAAAGGAAGCAGACAGAGTGAGCCCGCCCCAGCGTGCCTCCACCCGTCCAAACGCACACTCTCAGCAGTTCAGGACTTTTGAGGCTAAGAGAAGGGGGGACATGCCTGTGGAGTAGGAGCCCTCCATCCTATCCAGTACTCACAGGGGAGAGGAATCCTTACATTCAGAAGCAGAGGACACTCCAGGGAAAGAAGAGGAGCCGGCTTTCAGCCTTTCAGGAGAGGGGAAGGACTCTCCTCTCAACTTCCTTGTACCTAGACAGTGGAACAGGGCAGAGCCCCTCCGCTCAGATCTCCAGCAAACAGAAAGAGCCCTCCACTCCCGAAAGATCCAGTTTGGGGGGGAGGGGGATTCCCCCAAGGGGGAGGAGACAACTCCTGGTTCGGAGAGGCTCCTCCCCTCCTCCCCAGGGTTACAGGCAGGGTGTGGGGGGTGTGCCACCTTCCCCAGGTAGGACCTCCTTCTCCTCCGCCCCCTCCTCCTCCTCCCTCCGCTCCTCATCCTCAGGGGACCCAGGTCCCCCCGACCCCAGCTTGGGATGCTCAGCCAAGTACAGGAAGAGCCACTGAGGATGAAACTCTTCATCTGCCTTTGAAGAGGGGAGTCCCTCCAGCCCCAAACTCCAGTACCAGGTGGTTCCCTCCCTTTGCTGGGGGAAGCTCGGAGACAGGTTAGTGCTTTCTTTCACCTCTCTGTCCTCTTTAGGTACTAGTGGGGGTAGGGGCTGAGATGGTGGCTCTTGGGTTTCATCACTGGGGAAGGTAGAGTAGTAACTCAGAATCCTCTGGGGAGTGTGTTCTGAGGAAGCTCCTGGCTTCAGACTTACACCTTCTGCAGAGGCTCTGAGAAATGGGTTTCTTAGTGTTTGGGGACTCGATGGATGGGATTCGTTTGAGGTCCCTGGGGACATGTAGGGTTTCATGCTGAAGGCAAAGGGGTATCAGCAAATGCCTGCATTTTCAGAACTGCATTGGTACTGTGTAATAATGATGGACACATTCCAACCAGACTCCCAGAGCGCTCTCCATTCTTGGGCTTTCTTACTTCACTAAAGTGATCGTGGCATTTCATGGCCTATACTTGTCTAGGGCTTCCAGTGTTACTACCTTGTCTTACTTTGTAAGCCTACCTCAGCTTCATGTCCACCAGAGCTGCTCTCTCCTACCCACTGTCTCCTTGACAAGAAAATCAGCCTGTCCCCACTCACCCTTCCTCAGACACCAGGAGGCCTCCTCTTGTGGCTTACTTATTCCTGGATGGAAGCATGGCTCTGTCAGTAAAATCCAAAGGGACAATGGAAATCCCCCCTTCCCAAGGCAAGAAGAGAGGATGCAGGGGAATGCTAACTCCTGGTTGAAGTTCTTCCCTAGTGCTGGTCCTCTACCACTGCCCTCATGTCCTGCACGGCTCCTGTCCACAGCTCCTGTCCTTCACTAACAGTTCCTCAGGAAAAAGCAGATCCTGGATAGGAAGAGAGGGGTGTTGCTGCTCAGCCTCCTTCCAGTCTTCCATCGAAATAAGTTGCCCCCCAACCGGGAGATTTGACCTGTGATGAGTCTCCTTTCAGAAAAGCACCTAATAGTTTCATCTTTTCCCTTCCCATTTCTTGTTCGGTTCTGTGTCTCTGGAATCTGGTATTTAAGTTTTCTCTCATGAGATATGGAGCAGGAATCATCAAAGCCCAGAATCATCAGAAAAGGTGGGAGAAGGGTGCCAGGAAATCCTTCTAGCGGATGCTGGGCTATGTGCGTTTAGCAGTGTGTCTTTCCACCTGGGACCACTAGCTGGGCGCCCGCTTTCCTGCCTCATCTTCTTTGTGCACCTCACAGCAAAAGCAAGTGGGAGGCTTCATCTTACGTGGGTTTTTATGTTTCCCTCTTCTTTCTCTGTCTGGGCCTTGGTGGGCTCTGTGAGTCCCTACGTACATCCACTTGACCCTGGAGACTACCTGTTAGTGGTATATGAGGCAGGGGTATAATCCAGGTCCGCACCACTGTGCTAGAGAGCGGTGTACATATGTCTCTTAATTCAGGTGAATGGGGCTCTGACTCTGCTTCGAGTGGGTATGTGTGTGGGGACAGTTGCATCCGTGCTTTTCGGACTAAGCCTCCAATTACCCAGAATCCTGTGTTTCTGGTAGGCCTCTCGAAGCAGGTGCCCCTGCAGGAGGACATGGAGAGGTTGTTGGTAAGGCTGCCCTGCTGGGAGGAAGGCCTTGGCCTGCCCTGGCCAGTTGGGAACCCTCATGAATGGCTGCACAAGAGTCCTTTCTTGTGGTAGGGCTGCTCAGTGTCAGGCTGTGGCCACTTCTTCTAGAACTAGCAAGAGAGTTTTATTTCTGGTATCTCTGGTCTCAAAAGCATGAGGTTCCTTGGCTCTTACCTCTAGAACTCCCTCCCCCACTTTGTGAAAAGAGCCGACTCTAGTGTAATAGCAGCCCATTTCTCCCAAAATGCTTTTCCAGATGCTGGAATGCAACTTGTTGAGAGATTCAGAGGGAACTGTATCACAGCGGCTCCAGGTGGACCCCCCCCTCCTGTCCCCCAACAGTGCAACCGGCCCTACTAGGATGGAGTTTCCCTAATTCTCCTTGCCTCTGTGGAGTCCACTGGAAGCAGATGGCTGTTGGGTTGGATTAATTATGCTTTAGAGAGTGGTGTTTTCCAGATCATGTCTTATGACTAGACCTGGTCCCTGCTGAAAAATAGAGATGATATCCCCTCGTTCCCTCATCTTTGAAGTCTGCGTGGTCCTGGCATTGGTCAGTAGTGGGGTGACGTTATCCCCAAAGTAAAAGGTGGAGTTTCTGACATCTCGAAAGCTATTGCAAATTCAATACAGGTTTTGTAACATAAACCATGGCAGGCTTGCTGTTTTCAGTCTTAACCTCCACGGTCTGCTTTCTCATTTCCAATATTCTCTGTTTTGCCTCATTCAAAAATAATAATAGCTACACTTACCTAACACTTACTAAATGCCTTAAAAATATTAACTTGAGGCAATCCTCACAACAACCCTGTGCAGGTGCAGTTATCATCTCTATTTTATAGAGGAAGAAACAACAACACAGAGAAGTTAAGTAACTTGCCTGAGGTTGCCCAGCCAGTAAGTAGTGGAGCCAGGATTGAAACCCAGGCATCCTGACTGGTAATTGGTAATGTGGTAAACTCAACCACTGCTCTATTAGTTTTGGCATTCTGTCCAGAGCAGGAAGTTATCACTCCTTAGTACCTGACCTTGGCACCATACAGAGAATAATTCCTGACCTTTCAGATAAAGTGGGAAGAAAACCGTGCCTGTTATTTTGGATCTTTAAAAAAATTTTTTTTTAAAAAAGATTTTATTTATTTATTTGACAGAGAGAGATCACAAGTAGGCAGGGAGGCAGGCAGAGAGAGAGGAGGAAGCAGGCTCCCTGCCAACCAGAGAGCCTGATGCAGGGCTCGATCCCAGGACCCTGAGATCATGACCTGAGCTGAAGGCAGAGGCTTAACCCACAGAGCCACCCAGGCGCCCTGTTATTTTGGATCTTACACATCTCATCCAGGATCAGTCTTCCACACCAACAGAATGTCTTTCTGTTTTTCTCTGCCTTTCTCCTGGTACTGTAGTCTTCATTAGATGTCCTGTGGATGTGATGGAGCCTGCCCTTTGGCTGCCTTTCCCAGTTTCTATAGGTATTTCCTTTCAGTCTTCCAGCATGCAGAGAAGAATGTGGCCTGACTCGGGTTCTGCCCAAGCCCAGTGGCACAAGGCCCACCTGGAGAGAGAGGTCTGGGTAACTAGGTTGGTTGGACTAAGAAATGGAAGTAGCTCTTGTTTGCCTTTCTAATATTAGCCCTGAACATTAGCCTCGTGCCATTATTTTGGGGAGCATGGAATGTGTGGCAGCCACAAGCTCATTAAGCTTCATTCACTTCCCTCCAGGGATGAAGCTTTGGCAGTGTTGAGGACTTCCTCCCTTTTATTGAAGGGGGAAACTGAGGCATCAAGACTTCAGGGAGCAAGGGGTGGCTAGGGACATTTAGTGAGTCAGTGTCAAGGCTGGGAATAGAACGGAGGGACCTCATCTCTGAGGTTCTGTGCACTGGACGGCCTTCCAGAATGGGGAAGTGACAGGGGTGAGGAAGTGGGATGGGTTAAAGGAGAATGGTGCCAAAAGATCAGGAGGACCTTCTGCTGCAAGCTTCTTGTAGCTGGTAAGATTAGGATATATTTTGAGTGCTGGGTGGTATCTGGAGGGCTGACGGGGAGGGTGCTAGAGAAAGGTTAAATTTAACCTGTCTTAACCTGGTGCAGGGGTAAGGATAGGGAAGAGCATGGAACAACTAGCAAAGGCTGGGAGTGCTTCCCTTTCTGGAATTCACAGCAATTGGCATGGGTTCTGTAAACCACTTGAAATCTACTCTCATGTCCGTGTCCCGTGTTGGGAGACTTTCAAATGAAGGGTCCATGGAAGACTTCTGTGTTCATAAGTTGAGGTCTCCTATGGATCTTTAGCAGAAGATAATAGGGAATTCTTTTTTTTTTTTTTTTTTAAGATTTTATTTATTTGACAGAGAGAGATCACAAGTAGGCAGAGAGGCAGGCAGAGAGAGAGGGGGAAGCAGGCTCTCCACTGAGCAGAGAGCCCGACGCAGGACTCGATCCCAGGACCCCAAGATCATGACCTGAGCCGAAGGCAGAGGCCCAACCCACTGAGCCACCCGGGTGCCCGATAATAGGGAATTCTTTACAGACCTCCCCTTCTGAGGAGGACCCAGGAAAACCCTGGTCACTGAGAACCTGCTTATTGTCACAATACTGTTGGGCTGGGATAACCCAGCTATAGGACCAATGCACTCCCCAAAGCGCCCTGCTTTACTCCAGATGCTGTGGCATTTTGACTCAGTAATGCGCTGGGAGGTTTGAGGCTTCCGGGAATGATTAGATGTCCCTATTAGCTTCCAAGTTTCCATGATATTATAAGGCAAGGTGGTGGTGGTGGGCTGTAAAGGAGGGTGGTGGGGAGAGAAGCTAACCGTAAAGGGGAAACCCTTTCATGATACTATTTATAAACATAGCTTTTTTTTTTTTTCTTTCTTTCTCTTGTCAAGCAATTCTTGGGTTTCAGTTGGGTCTCATGCCGCTCAGGCCCTGAGGCATAAGGTGTTTCCCTCAGCCTTGTGCAGTGGGTGTGTTGCTGGGGAGGAGCAGGGTGCCTGCTACTTGTGTGTACATGCAGAGGTTGTGTGGGTGGGGAACTTGGGGGAGAACACGAGTGAGAACACTGACCCTTAGGAGAAAGGGTACATCTCAAGGGGAGGAGAGTCCCCGCTGTGGGCGACAGAGTGAGCTGACAGCTTGCAAGGTGTGTTGGAGGCAGGAGAGAGGGGTAGGCAGTCGTACCTGGGATTGAGTTTTTAACCGCAAAGGATGTGGATTTGTGTATGGTCGAATCCCTACCGCTCGTGCATTTTATCTGGGTGCGCATTTAGAAATTACATACGCGATGTGTTTCTGTCCGGGATTCTGAATTCTGAGGCTCGCTAGCCTGGTGGGACCGGCAGCAGGGCCGCGAGAAGGAAATACTGGCTGGACGCTCTCCTCCCCAGGCGAGCAGGCACAAACCTGCCAAGCGGCAAGTGCTTAGGGGGTTGCTGGCATGGGCTCTCAGGGAGCGCCAAATGGATACCAAGCGCTTCCTGCCAGCCTTTCTAGACCCTGCAGTAGCAGAGAGCACCCGGCGCTCTTCACCTTCCCCCACCAAGACGTCACTCCGGCTACACCGATCTGCCAGCGAGAGCGCCCGGGGGGTGTGGGTGGCAGCAGGGTGTGCAAACATCAGGCGTGGGCGGTTTGGCAGAGCCAGGAGTTTGCATGGAGGTGCAGCAAGCGCGCGTGCCTGGCTGGGAAGGAAGGAGAGAGGAGGAGGGCGGGAGAAGGGGAGCCAGCTCTTGGCCCCAGAGTGGCTATTTTTAGCTAGGCTATCTGATTGTTACGGTGTGCACACAGCTGGGTGTCCCCCACCTCCTGGCTCAGTGAAGCCCAGCGGGTTGGGAGGTGGGAGGTCCTTGCCGATGCCTTCTTCCTGGTGTTGGTGTCTGTGGGCGGGAGCCGGTCAGGGGCAGCTTTAAAGGTGTGAGGGCGGCTCTAACTCAGGATCTGTTACCTCTGTGTGTGACTTTGTGCTCTGCTGGTAATGTACATTGTATATCTCATTGTGATCTCTGGGTATGGGGGCCACTGTTTTACGTGTGTGTCTTGCCTCTGTCCTTTGCTGGTTGTCGTGCGTAATTTATGCTTGGGGTAAATCAAATATGCCTCATGTGCACATATATGGGATAAAAAGGTGAGGGGTCAAATTCACCCACTGTGAAACATCTGTAAAAGTGTTGGTGTGTGCTTCGTTGCTGTATATTTGTGTTTACTTGGACTGTTTTTCTTTACATGTTCACTTGTGCTATCTCTATGTATGTAAAACAAGCATCACATAATTGGAGAGTAGACTTTGGCTGATTTTACCTGGTATATTAAGTTTTTTTTTTTTTTTTAAATATGTAGTTTAAAATATTATGTTGTAGGCTCCACGTAAGGAGGATTGAGGGAATAGCTCAGTTGAGTGGGGGGGTCTGACTTCCCTCTTAGTGCTGAATGGAGAGTCCTGTTGGCTGTGTTCTACATTAAGATGTAAGACTGGTAAGTATTAGTCTGTCATCTGGTAGATGATTGGTGATATGTTGTCTGGGGGCTTTGGGAACACTTGGTTGAGGGCTGTCCTGCGACAGTCTCCCATGGGGATTACACTGGGAAGAAACTCTACTTCCCTTAGAGCACTAACATTTGAATATTATTTGCCACTAGTAACCAGCTATCACACTCACCTGTTCTAGTTTCCTCTCCCCTTTGTTCTCTTCTCTGCAGAACCCAGAAGTACCATGGCTTCTGACCTAGAGAGTAGCCTCACCTCCATAGACTGGCTCCCCCAGCTGACCCTTAGAGCTACCATCGAGAAGCTTGGGAGTGCCTCTCAGGCTGGGCCTCCAGGTGGCAGCCGCAAGTGTCCCCCAGGCTCACCCACAGATCCAAATGCCACCCTGAGCAAAGATGAGGCAGCAGTGCACCAGGATGGCAAGCCACGATACAGCTATGCCACCCTCATCACCTACGCCATCAACTCCTCTCCAGCCAAGAAGATGACCCTCAGTGAGATTTACCGCTGGATCTGTGATAACTTCCCCTATTACAAAAACGCTGGCATTGGTTGGAAGGTGGGATGGCTTCTGTAACCTGCGATTGTTTTTAGCCTTTGACAGCCTTTTTCTCTACTCTTTTGTTTCTTCCTCTAACCTGGTCCAGTTCACTCTGACCTGTTTCAGAGATGCATGAACTTAAAATCTTATATCTCCCATCCCCTACTCTTTTTCAGAGTTGAACAACTTTCATAAGGTATGTCAGGGAAACTCCAGTGATATCGAGCCACTAAGTGTAGTTATGAGGATGGCAGGATGCTATTGCTCATCATACCCTCTTACCTTCTGAGTCTTCGAAAAGGAGATTCATTCATTTCACAAATACTTATTGCCACTCTACTATGTTCAAGTCACTGTGCAAGGGATGGCATTGCTTCTTCCTACCTAGAGGTAGGAGTCTCATCAGATTTCCAAAGCTTCATTACACGTAGTCCTCATCTTCTGAAAAATTGTATACCAGTAACAACAACAACAACAACAATAATAATAATGATAATAATAAGGTCCTTCACCAACAGCTCATCTGCCAAGCAAGTAGTAAGAGGATAAGTTGTTTGGCTGGCAGTAAAGGAAGAAGGAAACCCTTCTTCCAAGCAAAGAAGGAAGACTGTTGTTCCCCATCTTTTGGAGCAGCAACTCATTTGCCAGTTGTTGAGAAGGAGTGGGGATTTAATGTCGTTCTTTCACTCTGTAAATCACCGGTTGACATACAAACCAGATGATGAGCTGGAGACTACTGGAAGTGTTCAGCTTTTCCTCCATGACCCTGTCCCTGCTAGCTACCACAACACCCAGCCTCGTCCAGCACACAGCTGCAACATTCTTTCTTTCCTCCGGATGTAGCATTCCAGGGGGCTGTTGAGGAAACAAAGGTGACCTTGTGCCTTTGTTTTGTTTCTAATTTATATTTGTTTTTATTTATATAAACAGTCTTAAAGTAGTATTCTTTTAGGGGAGATTAAAATAAATTAAGGCAGATATGTATCTGTCTTAATTTAATCTTTCTGGTTATATATATAAAACCAGAAAGATTATGTAGTTGTTGTTTTTAATATAGATACCAGAAGCACCTGGTAGTCAGGTTTATAGGCATTACCTCCCATCCATTTAATTTCTGCATTTTCTCACCTCAGGGCTCTTGCTATCTGCTAGATAAGGTCCTCCATCAGTATAGTTAGGAGGTCCTAAGCTTGCCTGATACTTGAACTTTATGATATGTTATGTTCTTTTGTGTCCCTCTGTGCCCTATTGGAAAATTTTCTGCTTTATACCATGCTGAAGCCTAACTTGCTTCTCTGCTTCCCTAGAATTCAATTCGGCACAACCTTTCTCTCAACAAGTGTTTCCGGAAGGTGCCCAGACCTCGGGATGACCCCGGGAAGGTGAGACACTCCTGTAAGCATTGAAAGGAGGGGCAGGAAGGAGAGAGGAGTAGTTGACAGCCTAGAGTCCTGTGGCTGTTTTAATTACCCAGAAGAGGAAATCATGTTAATTAGAGAAGCAGCTTTATTTTTTCTCAAAGGAAGAGCTTGGCTATCACGCTTATGGGCCCCCACTAGCATGAGTGACTAAGAAAGATTGTGGAATTTTTTTTTTAAGATTTATTTATTTATTTGTCAGAGAGAGAGAGAGAGAGAGCATGAACAGGGGTAGCAGCAGGGAGAGGGAGAAGTAGGCTCCCTGCTAAGCAAGGAGCCTCATGTGGGACTAGATCCCAAGACCCTGGGATCATGACCTAAGCCAAAGGCAGGAGACAACTGAGCCACCCAGCCATCCCTGAAATCCATTTTCTTAAATAGAATTATATATGGTAAAGTTGACTTTAATGCCCCCTTTCTTATGTGTGGCCCTCTTTTTAGATGTGAAAGGTAGGCTAAATAACCTTTGTAGAGACTTTTCTCTACAAAAATCCCATGACTTTTATCTTCAAAAGGGAAAAGAGATAAATCAGTTACTTCTTTCGAAAGATGTGGATGCTAGAGTTCAGAAGAGCCTTGCCACAGATCACACAGAAGGAGATGGTTGTGTGTGGGCATTTCCAGCTCTTTGAACGAAATACCAGAACAATCAAGGCCTGTGTTTGGACCACCAGTTGTAGTTATACCCCTGACATACTCATTGAACTTTTAGGACAAATTTACTCCTCAAAAATAGCCAGTACCCTCGGGACTCTGTGTGATTTTCCAGTTATTTTTCTTAATATGACTTTTTTTTTTTTGGTGAAAATCCTCCCAACTATCTACTTTTCCAAAGGTGTGAATTTTCATATATAATGTTTTTGTTTTTCATGGGGTTGGGTTCGCCTTCCAGGGCTCTTACTGGACAATCGACACCTGCCCTGACATCTCCCGAAAGAGAAGACACCCTCCAGATGATGATGTAAGTCCCCACCTGAACCAGCAGCTCGGGCCACATCCTGTCTTGTAGTTTTGGTCCTTTCCTGTGTTTGGGGCAAAGGGTGAGCTGAAACCATGGGTCTCAGGAGGATGTTTAGTTTCTGCTTCCAGATTTCTGTTCTTTCCCAACCCTCAGCTATCCCAAGACTCACCAGAACAGGAGGCAAGCAAGAGCCCACGGGGAGGCGTTCCTGGGGGTGGAGAACCCTCACTGCCTTCCGAGGGGAATCCTCAGATGTCCCTTCAGAGCCCCACTTCTATCACAAGCTACAGCCAGGTAAGAAGTAGGGGTGTCAGGGTGCATGGGGACGGATGGATGGGTGGATAGGTTGTTGAACAGAGTCATAGATCTGCCAGTTGGAAATACTGTATTATCTGTGATGTAGTAGGCAGATCAATTGGGAAAGACGGGGAAAGCAGAAAAGGGAAGCTGAGAGAGAGAGAGAGAGAGAGAGAGAGATATGTAACAGAACTTTGAGAAAGATCAGGGGGATGAAAAATAGTGAGAAGAGAAGAAGGGGAGCCAAAAAGGTTATGAGAATGGAAGGTGGATGGAGCATGGGAAAGTGGCTCGAGGCACATCACAGTAGGAATCAATGAGACAGACGGGGAAATGATGTTCATTCATTGAAAAGTTAGGACAGGATGAAGACAAGCCAAAGAGCTTGGTGACCATGAAAGGGCTGTTTTCCTGATTTAGCACATGGATTGAGTCTCTCTTACTCCTTTCTGCAGGGCACAGGATCTGTGGATGGTGGAGCGGTGGCAGCAGGGGCTCCTGGCCGAGAAGGTGCCGAGGGTCCTCCTCCCCTGTATAACACCAACCATGACTTCAAATTCTCCTACTCAGAGATCAATTTTCAGGACCTAAGCTGGTCCTTTCGCAACCTCTACAAATCCATGCTGGAGAAATCCTCTTCCTCATCTCAGCATGGTGAGCCTGTTGTTGGGATGAGGGCATGAACATACTTATACTCCCGGATCGGTGGTAACATTCTCTTTCCCTTCTGTCTTACTTTTCACATGAGGAGAGGCTGATCACTGGTTAGGGGAAGCATCTCAAGAAACCAGAATTGTTTGGAGTCAGGTTCTTCTGGCTTAGTTTGGAGCTGTTTTGGAGCTGTTTCGAGAGGCAGGCTGGGTTATTAGCTTCAGAAAGTGAGTTCAAGGGATCCCCCTTCTAGAACTAAGGGCAGTGACTCGATGGCTGCAAGCCCGTCATTTAGAGGATGGCCACTAGGGGACAGCAGTGGTTTGCTTTCCTTCAGAATCCGTTTCATTGTGAGACAATTTAATTTTTTAGCATATTTCTAGTTGCTTTTTTAAAAAAAAATTTGTGCTCACTTTGGCAGCACATATATTTAAAAAAAGATTTATTTATTTATTTGAGAGGGTGAGTGAGTGGGAGAGGGGTAGAGGGAGAGGATCCTCAAAAAGACTCCCCACTAAGCGCAGAGCCCACCTTGGGGCTCGATCTCATCACCCTGAGATCATGAGATCATGACCTGAGCTGAAATCAAGAGTCAAACACTCAACCAATGAAGCCACCCAGGCACCCCATGTTAATTTTTGTTAGAAAAAAATCTCAAACAGATGCAAAAATAGAGAAAATAGTATAATAAACCCTTAGGTTTCCAACTTTTAAGATGGCCCAGTTTTAATACATGGCAATATTTTGTTCAGCTCATTTCATTTACCACCCACTTTTTTTTTTTTAAATGGGAATAATTTAATGCAATTCCCAGATGTGCTTATCCCACCTAAGATACTACTTCAGTGTGAAGTCTTAATGATAAAGACTTGGTTATCCACTGCCATTATTATTCTTAACACAGTCAATAATACTTCCTTAATATCAGTTTATATTTGGTCCATACTCAAATTTCCTGTATTACCGTGTGAGAGTAAAGTTCATATTGGAAAGCTCCTTTGAGAGATCACCTGGTCCAGCCCTCTGTGACTCCTGTTTGTTTCTGTTTTTATTTATTTATTTAGATTTTATTTATTTATTTGACAAACAGAGAGAGCACAAGCAGGGGGAGAGGCAGGCAGAGGGAGAGGGAGAAGCAGGCTCCCCGCTGAGCAGGGAGCCCGATGTGGGACTCGATCCCAGGACCTTGCGATCACCACCTGAGCCAAAGAGAGATGCTTAACCACTGAGCCACCCAGGTGCCCCTTGTTTGTGGTTTTAAAGAAATTAGAGGTGGGGGTCGACTTCGGGTGAGGCATCAGAGCCTCTTGTTCTGTGTAGTTGCCTTGTACAGGCCTCGGGATGAACAGGATGATGAAAACTGATTAGAAGCCACCTTTTGGAAAATTTGTATTAACTGCCGTGGATTTCTTCTTTTATATCTCGGGGGATTTAGAGCTGGAGTTATGCTCTGAGATTGTAGCCTTTGCTTGAGAAATGAATCCAGGTCAGATGACTGGTTGATCAGAAGTGGGGAGCTGGGAGGGGCTGTCAGAGACAAAGTGAAAAATTAGAGTGAGTGAGGATTCAAGTGTTCACTCAGATTTCATGGTGACTGAAAGCCCCTGCCCAGCCTCAGTCTCTAGTTCTTCCCTGCCCAATGTGTGCCAGAAATTCATCCATCCTTATTTTATGCCTCACCCAGCTCCGTTTGTTGGTGGTGAATCCAAGTAGGTAGTAACAGCAGACGAGTGTAGACACAGTAAGGAAGAAGAAAGAGTAGGTACCCAGTGGCTTTATTTTATTAGTAATTTACCTTTTATTTATTTATTTGAGAGAGGGAGAGCAAAAGCAGGGGAGAGAGGGAGAGGCAGACTCCCCGCTGAGAAGGGAGCCTGAGGCAGGGCTCCATCCTAGGACCCTGGGATCATGCTCGAACCAAAGGCAGATGGTTAACAGACTGATCCACCCAGGCGCCCCTGTGATTTACTTTTATTTTATTTTATTTTATTTTTAATTTTTTAAAAAGATTTTATTTATTTATTTGAGAGAGAATGAGTGAGAGAGAGCATGAGAGAGGAGAAGGTCAGAGGGAGAAGTGGACTCCCCAAGGAGCTGGGAGCCCAATGCGGGACCCAATCCTGGAGGTCCGGGATCATGACCTGAGCCGAAGGCAGTTGCTCAACCAACTGAGCCACCCAGGCGCCCTGTGATTTACTTTTAAAACTTCACCTGATACCTGACTGCTCTTGACACTGATTCCAGGCCTACCCCCAGATCCCTGAGGAATAGCATGAAAAGGTACATGCTAACCTTTTTGCTAGAATTTGAGCAGCTGTCAAGGCCCTCCATCTGTCCGTTGTATCTATAGAGGGCAGAGGGAGCCCAGAGGATCCGTGCCTTCTCAGGACACCCTTAAGTCTGGGGTTTCTGTCTGACGCCATCTCATCCCTGTGGAAGTCCTGTTCAGTGAAAAATGCATTGGGGTGTCCGGTAGGCTCAGTCGGTTGATCGCCTGACTCGTGGTTTGGCTCAGGTCATAATCTCAGGGTTTTGGGATCAAATGCCCCACGCAGTGCCCCATGCTCAGTGGGGAGTCAGCTTGAAGACTCTCTCTATCCCTCCCCCTCCTCGCAATGCTCTTTGTCTCTCAAATAAATAAACCTTTAAAAAAAGAAAGAAAAGAAAGAAAAATGCATTGCCCAATTCACTTGGCTGCCTCCTCCCGCCCTCCAGGCTTCTCGTCTCTCCTGGGGGACATGCCGCCCTCTAACAACTACTACATGTACCAGCAGCCGCCGCCGCCCCAGCAGCAGCCGCCGCCGCAGCCGCCCCCCCAGCAGTCGCAGTCGCAACCGGCTCCCGCCCAGGGCCCCTCCGCTGTAGGGGGTGCCCCTCCGCTGCACACCCCAAGCCCGGATGGGTGTACCCCACCCGGGGGAAAGCCGGCTGGGGCCGAAAGCTACGGGCCTCCCTCCGTGATGGCCATGCACCCACCCCCACTGCAGCACGGGGGCTACCACCCGCATCAGCACCATCCCCACCCCCACCCCGCCCAGCAGCCACCGCCGCCCGCTCAGCAGCAGGCGCAGGGCCAGGCTCCTATCAACAGTACTGCCTTTGGTGAGTATGGAGGGTGCGGCGGGCTCCGAGAGGAGGGCGGGCTGGCCCGCTTGTTCTGACTGGGTCTGGAGATGCAGTTGGCCAGGTAGTTAACAGTGGGTCTGTAGTCTCGCCACCCCCCCACCCCCCGCCCCGGCAGGAGCCCCTCTGAGCCCGCGGAAGTTGCCACTCCGAGCTCCGTGTTTTGGGGTTCTTGGACCACCTGCGATTGCTTTACGAATTTTCCTGCCTGGGACCTAGGCTGTCTCTCCCTAAAGCTATCCGCTTTACTAGTCCTCCTTCTCCAGGGAGGGAGATTTTCAGATTATCCTGGTGATGTAATTGACAACCTTGCATGTAGTCAGCCGGCTACCACATCACTCTCTTTATTTTCCACCCTCCCCGCCCCTTTATAGCCTTTCCTCCCGACTGGTGCTCCAACATCGACTCCTTAAAGGAAAGCTTTAAGATGGTGAATCGGCTCAACTGGTCCAGCATTGAGCAGTCACAGTTCTCAGGTGAGTGAGGAGAGGAAGATGACCAGAGGGAAGAGGAGGACATGGTGAGTAGGAAGCCTTGTAGAAACCAGCACCAGAAGGGGGTGGTGAAGTGAGCTTTGAGGAAGGAGGATTCCATTGTTTTCCCTCCATATCTCACAAGGCAGATGATGCCAATGTTATTTGCAAATTAATTTTAATTGATTTTGCCTGAACTCACCCAAAATATGACCGTGTTTTATCCTACCCTGTTTTGTCCCTGGAGTGGGAAGGCTCTCAGGAATTCAGAAACCAGGACCACGATTTTGTAGTTTTGTCACTGTTTATGGGCTAATTCAATCACTCCCTTTGAAATTTTGTTTTCTTTACCAGCAAGATGGAAATTGTAACAAGAATTTAGGGAGGAGCCAACAGAAGAAGAGTTCGAAAATGTAGAGCTCTAGGAGATGTCAGTTATTCTTGGCAATAAATCTAGTCCGTGGTGTTGATTTGTGATGTGATGGGAGCAGTGAGATGGGGGCGGATATGGTAGGGCCTTTGGGACCTCCACAAAGGGTAGCCCTTCTTGCTTCTCTGTTTGTAGAACTGATGGAGAGTCTGCGACAGGCAGAGCAGAAGAACTGGAGCCTCGACCAGCATCACATTGCCAATCTGTGTGACTCTCTCAACCACTTCCTTACCCAGACTGGTCATGTGCCCCCCCAAGGGGGCTCGCACCGGTCACCAGCCTCTGCCCGTATTGCTGACTCCTGTGCCCTTACCGGTGGCAAACAAGAGCCAGCCATGAACCAAGGTAGTGAACCAAGCAAGTTACCAAGGAGGTGGAGGCTCTGATGAAAAGAGAGGGGGAGGAAAAGGGCAGAAGAGAATTGAGCAAAGTCATCTGATGAGCAGTGACCCAGACTAAGCAGCGGGACTGGTTTGTCTGCTACGTTGACTGAACATCTAGTGCATCAGTCAAGTCTTGTACTGAAACACTGTATGAGTCCCTTTTCCACCTTAATTTGGGAAATCAGAATTACTTATGAAAAGGGAGGAAAAGGTGCTCATTCCAGATGTGTGTCTCAGTAACCCCTACCCGGATCATATCAGATGGGGTTGTGATTCTCTACAGTTACACAATCTTCAGACCAGTGTAATGAGAGAGATTCAATGATCATGTTTCTCTATTTGTCATCCTTTGACTAGCCATGATATTTCATAGTTCTAGGAACCATTAAGGTCCCTTTTTGCCCTAAGTGGTGAGAACTGATGGCTCCTCCAGAAAGCCTTTAAGCCTGCTGAAGCTATAGAACAGAGCAGGGAAGGGAGGAGACATCAAGGAGAGAAAGAGTACTTCTTTCCCCCCTCTATATTGGGCCCTACTTCACTGAGTATAATGAAGTCTGCTCAAGTAACTCTTGTCTTGCTTTGGCAGTGAATTCTTATGTGCACCCACAAGCCCCCCACCTCTACCCTGGCCCATCACCAATGTACCCAGTCTCCACCCAGGATTCAGCAGGATACAATCGCCCAGGTAAGAGCCAGGAAGCTTGCTTCTCCCACAGCCCAACACTCTCTACCCTGACAAGTTGTGTTTGCTTTCCTCTGGCTCTGAGCCTGCACTCTCTTCCCTCTTGCTCACCCCTGCTGGGAGTGTGTGAACCTTCATGATTCCTAAAGCTCCAGGGTGGGCCCCTTGCTAGGGAGGTATATGTCATGGGAGACTAAAGAAGACTGATTTACTTTGAGCATAACTTGTGCCTGCAATAATAAAAGGGAGTAAAAACAGGGGTGCCTGGGTGGCTTAGTTGAAGGTCTGACTTTGGCTCAAGTCATGATCTTGGGGTCCTGGGGTCAAGCCCTACATCGGGCTCTGCACTCAGCTGGGAGTCTGCTTCTCCCTCTCTGTCTGCCTCTCCCTCTGCTCATGCTCTTTCTCCCCCCCACCCAAATGGATAAATAAAATCTTAAAAAAAAAAAAGACAGTAAAAGCATGCAAATAGACCAAAGATATTGAACATTTATGTCCAGCTTTGGAATCTAGATGGAAGGTATGGTCAGGCAGATACAATGAGCACGTTATACAGACATACCTGCTCTGTGCCCATGTCTGTTTTCCAGTCACCTGACTCCTGTATCAGGGGTCTGGGATTGAACTACCTCTGATGGGGGTGGAGGTAGACCCTAACTTGCCATAAATAATATAGAATGAACAGATCGTTTGCTTTTAAATACATTTCAGAAAAATCGCTATTATTATCCTGCCTAACTACAAGGGTTTCGAATTTTTTGGGTGACATCAGACTCTTTGTCCATATCTTCCTTATCCATGTAACACGTCTACAAATTTCTATACTGTGATTTCATATAATAGTACGTTGTGTATGTTTTTTTTCATTACTACATGGTTTTCATAAGTATAATTCTTGGGGGCTACATAGTGTTAAATTGCCATTTGCCCTCTGTTTACTCTGGTTTATTTCCTGAGACCCACTGGAGTGGCGCTAGCAACGGAAACAACTCTGGGCTGATAAGGAGCATAGTTTCACCAGCCCTTCCTCGTGGTCATATTCAGGGCTGAGCACTGCCTATCTAGATGGTAGAATAACTTCCCATCCACTCTCCTTTTAATTTCTTTGTCTCTTCCTGACAGCACACCATATGGTCCCTCGGCCACCGGTCCCCCCTCCGGGTACCAACGAGGAGATCCCTGATGACTTCGACTGGGACTTGATCACTTAGGGCCTCATGGAGCATGGCCATGAGCCCAAGGCTGGGTGGCGAAAAGTCTGGGAGTGGGGCAGGAGCAGCCCCAGCCCATCCCTTCCTCCTTGCTGTATATACTTATATATCCTCTTTTTTCTTGCTCTGTCAGAAAAGCCACCACAAGATGCTGCCGAAGATAACCCCCCCTCTTTCCTGCCTCCTTCTTCCTCTTCCCTCTTGTTTTTTTCCGAATTCTTTTATTATTATTCTTATTATGGTATTATTATTATTATTGTTATTATTATTATTGGTTATATGCTGTCCCCAGTCTTCTGCCCTCCTCCACAGACTGTGTCCGCCCCTTGCTAATTTAAAATCATCTGGCCGGAAGGTGAGGCCTTGATGGCTACAGAGAAAGGTTTCAAATTTTGATTTACCTTTCTCTTTGAGAAACTCAATGCTAATCTCACCTTCCAACCCTAAATTGTTTTCTGTTCCTGTCAGTTCAGTCCAGTACTAGAGAAGCCACATTCTCAAGTAAAAAGGGATCTAAAACACCGCTGGGCAGCCATGAATTTGCAGGTTTTACTCAATGGTGCTAATTTTGTCCTCTGAGCTCTTCCTTGTCCCTTTTATCTTCGATCCTTACTTCTCCCGATCCTCACTCCCCATCTAGGGTAAGAGTGATGGTGGTGGTGCAGAAGGGTGACCATTAAATCCTAGAAGAATAAGACTTCTGGGTTGGGTGGAGTCAAACAGTGTAGAGGGGTGATGGAATATAAAATAGTCAGTTTTTATATGCTACTAGAAACTTCCATGGACTTGTTCCCAGTCCTTAGTCTATTGGAGATAGAGTTGGTCTTGCTTCTGTGGTAGGGATGAGGATACCTGTTCAGCATAGGTTCAGCTTTTAGGAGACGGTTTCAATTTAACCCTTTTGAGTTTTTAAACATAGTTTTCTCTGGAAATTAACTGTGGCTCATATTTGCATTTACAAATTATCCTTCAGTCCCCCTTCCCCATTCAGCAAATACTATTTTGTCCTCCTTCAGTTGCTGGCTCAACTCTTCCTCCCCTTTTATCTTCTTCCCCTCATTTTCTGGAACTCTCAAGAAAGAAAAGTAAGCCATTATCACTCTTTCAGTTTCATCATGTCCTAGGACAAGATGGGAACCTCTTTCCCACTGATCATAGCAGAACCGAACCTACAGCGTTGGTGGTAGGGGTGTGGGGAAAGGGAGAAGGAGCTGGCATACACATAGGTAGGGAATATTTCAATTATTTAATTGTGTCAGCAAATGCTTCTCTTGGAAATCACTGGGGCTGAAGCTTTTGCCATTTGACTTTCAAGGGGTGAAGGAAATTGGTAGAGGGGATTAAATAATCTAGAGAGGGGAGTTTGTGAGGGCCAAGGGAGATCCCCCAGAAAAAGAAAAAAGGTACAGGGACAACTTCTATCCTTTAATGAGAAATGGCCATGAGTTACTGCTGCAAAGTACTTAGTGTATGTTTCACGTTAATTGTTGAATACTAGTTACGAGAGGGAAGAGCAATTTTACTTCTGTTTTTATTTCACTGAATGTTCACTTTCCGAAAGCTGCAGGACAAATGTAAGGAACGGACAAGGCCATTCTCTCTGTGATTTCTGCTTCTTGTTCATATTCTTTTATTTACCCATGACTTCCAGGAGATCTAGCTTTCCACTCTTCTGCTTTTCCCTCACCCACCCCTTTCTTTCTTTGTAAGGGGGTTATATATGAGAGTTTGTTGAAGAAGGCTGAAGCAAAGGGGCAAGAAAGGGCGGTTAACTAAAGAGCACTTTATTTTCTGTGAAGTTCTTTGTAAGAAATGGGGATATGAGTGGCTTGAATCCCCCATTGTTGGGCAGTCAGTGGGGTTGAAGTATGACATAATATTTCCCGTTGGGGAAAGGAGAATTTCTCTTAGAGGGTGGCAAAATGCCTTTGCCCTGTGTCCTTGTTCTAGGCATCTCTTCCGAATTCCTTCCAGTCAAGGTGCCTCCTATATACACAACTTCCCATCTGTTCTCCTGTTCTCCCCAAGATTCCCCCCTTTACACATGATTATTTCTCTTTTCTAAACCCCCTTTCTACTCGGATCCACACAGGATTTACGAGGGTAGACGAAATTGTACATGTAAATGTCCCTTGTTTATAATTCATCTGTGTCTTCTGAAAATTTGTCTCATGAAGACTCTGGTGGGCAGCCAGAGTAACTAAAGTTTGGGGCTAGGGGTGGAGACTGGTCATCAGGCCTCCTGGGATTTTAGCTCCCTTCGATTGAACTCAGCCTTGCTAGATGGCACAGGACAAAACTTACCCTCTTTGGGCCTGTTTCCCCTCCCCTCCATGAAATGGAAAGAATACTACTTTTTCTTGTTGGTCCAGCATTGCTGGGCTCAAAGTATAGTCATTGTCGTATTGAGTGACGTGTGCAAAAGTGCAGGCGCTCCTGCCTCCAGGAGGAGATGAGGGAGAAATGGGAGGAGAGGGACAGATGGAGCAGTCACGTGGTATAGATCCACTCATCCTCACTTTCCTCTCTTCGACCCCCAGGTTTCTGGTTTGGTGAGTCCTTCGTACCACCCATAGTGCTTTGCATTGGTGCAGGCCAGCCAGGGGGTGTATGATCTCACAAGTTGTTGTGTTTTGCATGCTTTCTTAATAAAAAAAAAAAAAAAAGGAAGAATGTTTATGGTTTAATCTTACTGGTGCTGGTCTCAGATTTCTTTTTACCAGGGTAGGAAGGCAGGAAGGGGGAAGCATTTGTCTTCAGCTGGCCTTACACCCTTTCCCTGCCTCCCACCTCTGGGTCCAATCAGTTGATCTTGGAATTGTTTTGTAAGATTGCTGGGAAAGACGAATTAAAAAACATGCATTTAACATTGCTTTTTTTTTTCCCCCCCCAAATGCTATTAAATATAGTGAAATATTGTTGGGAGAGGCAGTCACCCCTTATAGCTCGGTGTGTGGACTAGGCCACCTTGCCTGTGCTCTGGGATATTTCAAAGATCAGAGATACTACAATTTTGGGAGGAGTTGGATCTCCATCTGGGACTTTCTGGCAAATACTCACAGGTACTTACCAGAGTTTTTCATAAGAAATGAGGGAATTCCAATTGTAAGATTTTGTTTTCAGAATACATTTCCCAGGGGCACCTGGGTGGCTCAGTGGGTTGAGCCGTTGCCTTCGGCTCGGGTCATGATCTCAGGGTCCTGGATCGAGTCCCTCGTCGGGCTCTCTGCTCGGCAGGGAGCCTGCTTCCCTCTCTCTCTCTCTCTCTCTGCCTGACTCTCCATCTATTTGTGATCTCTCTCTGTCAAAAAAATAAATAAAATCTTTAAAAAAAAAAAAAAAAGAATACATTTCCCAGGGATGGAACTCTCAAAGGGAATCCAGAAATAGCAACTATGGAATCTTATAACTATGTCATCACCCCAGTATCCTGTACACTAAATGTAGAAGTTTGGGACTTACATCCGGGTCTTGTAAGATGTGTTGGGACTTCCAGGATCCTAGCTAATTGCCATTATAGCAAGCCTCCAGCTGCCTACTATGATTTGCTGTATGTTTAGAGATTATGACATATTCTGAGTATCAAACAGTTAAGAGGATCTGTGAATCCCAGTCTCACAAGGAACCACAAGAAAGCAAGCATTTATTCATATCAAATACATAAGAAGATTACATTGGAAGGCGGCATTGCAAATCTTACATCATGTCACACATTGTTACCTCACACCTGAGCGACTTCTCAGTGATTTGCAATTTTTCTGCATAGCACGTTATTACTTATTTGTAGTCCAGAGCCTCACCCCAATCACTGAACAAATAATAGTGCCTTGCAAGTCTAAAACATCTCATTTTCTCTTTTTTTTTAGATTAAGTAATTATATTCCACCCAGGGGGGAGGCTATATTATAGTACAAAAACCCTGAGATTTTAGAAGTCTAACACAATAAAGTTTAAATACACAGACAAATGAGAAGGTGATAGGGTTAAATAACTTTTTTTTTTTTTTTTAATGAAAGAATGGAAGGAAAGCTGTATGTGGGGTTGGGATGGATCCACAGAACAGAAGAAAGTGTGGTCAGGAGCCAACTAAAGTACGGTGATTAATGAATATTAGGATGATGATAAGTAAAAAATATGAATGTGGATAAAATTAATCTTTCAAGATAAGAAGTGATGTTATTGTGTATATGAAAACTAGCTGCATAAGCACATGATTGTCATGGTAAATATCAGAAGAAATGTCTAAAATTGTTGCAAGTGTTATTTCTGGGAGATGGGAGTGGGAGGAGGGATTGGTTGGGCAGAGAGGGGCAGGAAACTTTATATTTCATTATAAGCCTTGGGTTCTCTTTAAATTATGTGCATCTATTACTTTGGGAAAGATAAAAATTCATTTCAAAAACCCAAAAATATACCTGGTGAATGATATACAAGCATAGCCGTGCTTTACAAAGTTTGATGGTATTCCTGGAGGGTACTCAGTAACTGTGCAGTGAATTCAAGGGTTACTGCTCCATCCTCCACCCTCCTCTTCTCACTGGAAATGAGTTTCTCAGGGAATATTAGTTTCAAGCAAAAGGAGGGGAGCAATTTGAATCTTGAGAAATTAGAGGTTATTAGGTGCACAAAGTCTAATACAGAAGAAGATTGAGAGGTAGGTGAGAAATAAGGGGATAAAGGAGCTTAAGAAAGGGAATGGAAGAGAGATGGTTCTATCAATAGGCAGACTAAGTAAACAAATAGAAAACTCCCCAAACCACAGCTTACGTGCCATTTTATGAGTAAGTTTTCAGATACCTTGCAGCCTGTATTTACATAGTAGATGCCTATTCAGTTGTAATAATGGAAACGTGGAATTCCCATGTCCCGTATCCAGGAATATTGCACATAGCAAGCATCTGACATTGTACTCTGCTTCAGACTGCATCTCATAACTGCTTGTTTTTGTGGACTCTGTCTTTTTGCACCTTGTTTTCATTTGAAAACATCACCACCCCCACAACAAAGCCAAAAGAGACGATCATTGTTCACTCATGTAAGATTAGACAAAATGGTTTTAAATTGCATCTGGGAGGGGATTTGGACACTCCCAAAGAAAAAAGTTCATGATGGAAAAATCATTTTAAAACAGACTAGGTTCTCCCTGATCTCACTGGCTTAGTTTGGGATAGAAATAGAGTAATTTGGGGGACGATTATCAAATTTAGCATTCATCAGAAACAGGAGAGTTCATTAAAACACTTGCTGGGCCTCACCCTCGGAGATTCCGATTCAGCAAGTTTCTAGGTGATTCTGACAAGTTACCAGGTGATGCAGATGCTTCTAGTCTCAGACCATACTTTGAGAACTATGGACTGATTCTTGGATGGCTTCTGGAATCCCCTGCTCACAATACCACTCATTGCTTCAGAAACATGTCACACTGGGTGAATACCTAAGAACCTTGGCTTGGGTCCACAGCTCCGTATCTTCACACAGGTATACTGATACGGTTTCTTTCCAAAAAGACTTTGCTTTGGGGACAGCTGGTAGAGTGTGTGAAGTCTTCAATGAAAGCCACCTCCAGAATGCCCTTCATGGACTGTTTGGCTTTCTTCCTGAAATCTTTTCCCAGGAAGGCATAGAGGAAGGGATTAAAGCAACTATTGGCAGATGCTAGAGCAATGGACACGTAGTCCCAAGACAGCAGAGCTTTTCCAAAGGGAGTTTCTGAGTCAAAAAACAATGATAGGACTCCAATAATGTGGTATGGAGCCCAGCAGACACAGAAGACAACCACCACAGCCATGGCCACTCGCAAGGTTTTGGTCCGAGACTTGGTGAAGCGGCCGTGTCGCATTCGGAAGATAATGAGGCCATAACAGGTCATCATGACCATAAAGGGCAGAATGAAACCCATCACTAGTCTAGTGATGGTTATTGCCATCAGGGGTGTTAGTACTTGATTGTTGTATGAAAACTGGCCTAGATCATAATCCTGGAGATTTCGGAATAGCTCATATGTGTATAAGGAGTTGCTGGAAGTACCAGAGTAAAGCTCTAAATCGGTAGAGAGAAAACTATCAGAGTTATCTGGTGGGTTAGTTCTGCGATCTTCAATAGGAAACCCACTGGGGCTTATAGATGAGACCTTACTAGCAAGAAAATTATAATATGGATATTGACTAGATAATTTAGCTGAATCCATAGGGAGTGACTCTCCAGAAGGTCTTTGAAATGTTCGAGAATAGAGGATAGTGGTGGCTGTCCAAGGAAGATCATTTGTTTGTAAAGAGAAAGACTCTAATCCCTCATCCATTTCTCCAGGCAGGTGCACAGTGGAGTTGTCAAGAGACCCATTTTCCAGTAGATCACTGGTGAAGTCTGAATAACCAAAGGAGCTGTAGGGACTAAAATTGTAGCCACACATGTAATGGTCATCTACAGCGAATGTTTTCCGGTACATGAACACAGGCATACACATTACAAAAGCCACCACCCATATACATCCACAGATAGCGAAGGCTGTCCCCACCTTGCGGTGATTCTGGCACCAGATTGGCCTGAGGACCAAAAGACAACGATCCAGGCTAATGGCAGTCAGCAGGAAGACGCTGGCAAACATGTTGAGGATGATGATGGAGGGGATGAGCTTGCACAGAAACCAGCCATAGGGCCAGTGTCCTTGCAGCGCCAAGTGAGCCAGGGAGAAGGGCAACGAGAGGCAGCAGAGGAAGTCGGCCAGCGTGAGATGGAGAAACCAAACCGTGTTCACTGTCCGCTGCATCTTTTTAGGCCAGCCACCCACAGCACTAGCCCGTTGCCTGGCAACCCCAGTAAGAAAGTGAGGCTGAGAATGCCCATGGAGAGAATGACTTGGGGTTCGTACCAGGGCTGTGAGGGTAGGTCAGTTGAATTGTTATCAGCGGAGGAAGTCTCCATTGCTGAACTTCTCTAAAAATATAAGTAATAATATTAAAAACTATCTTTTTCTTAAAAAGCATATCCTTAGAATTACAACCCTCCCACATAATGCTGTAGACTACAGAGGCCCCTGTTTTAGTCTGTATTCCTTAACTTTGCCCTGGACCACATGAAAACATTCTATGATCATTAAAATCTACCATATCAATTTAAATGTGTACCGAAATCATAATTTCATTTGGAAGTCCCTGTCAATGTACATTTCTCCTCTTTCTTGCAATTACATTATGACATTCTGCACTCGTTCCTTTCCTTACCCAATGTTCTCTACTAAAAACAAGCAGGGCTCCTGGGTGGCTCAGCCGGTTAAGTGTCTTCCCTCGGCTCAGGTCATGATCCCTGGGTCCTGGGATCAAGCCCCACATTGTGCTTTTCCCTCTGCCTGCCACTCCCCCTGCTTGTGCTTGCTCTCTCTCTCTCTCTCTGTCACATAAATAAATAATCTTAGAAAACAAAACAAGACAAAAAAAAAAAAACAACAAATAAGCTAAATGGATGAACAATAACTTTAGACCAGAGGTTCCCAGCTTTCAATCCACAAAAAGGCTTTATGGAGCTCCATCACCACCTCGAACAGTATGTAAGATTTTAAGGTTGCATATTCCCATTTCTATGAGGGCAGAAGGGCCATCCAATCCCTCCACCAGATTTTCAATGACTCACTACCACAAAAAAAGGTAATGTAGACTCAGTTGTATCTTTACTTTTTAATAAAAAGATAAAAAAGATTATTTATTTGAAAGAGAGAGAGAGAGACCATGAGCAAGGAGAAGAGGGAGAAGCAGGCTCCCTGCTGACCAGGGAGCCGATGTGGGGCTCAATCCCAGGACTCTCTAATCGTGACCTGAGCTGAAGGCAGCTGCTTCACCGACTGAGCCACCCAGGTGCTGCCCCCAGTTACGTCTTTAGATATAACCTCATCTTTTCCTCTTGCTTTCAGATTTCTCAAGAGTTGTTTACCCTCTCAGCATCGATTCCCTCAATACCCATCATTTCTTTCTTGTTTTTTAAAAATGTTATTCATGGGGCGCCTGGGTGGCTCAGTGGGTTAAAGCCTCTGCCTTCGGCTTGGGTCATGATCCCAGGGTCCTGGGATCCAGCCCCGCATCGGGCTCTCTGCTCAGCGGGGAGCCTGCTTCCTCCTCTCTCTCTCTCCCTGCCTCTCTGCCTACTTGTAGATCTCTGTCTGTCAAATAAAAAAAAAAATCTTAAAAAAATGTTATTCATGAATATATACATATATTTGCATATATACATATATGTATATGTGCATCCATATTTTTCTTAATTAAAATTTAACAAAACTTGATTAGTCTGTGCATATTTAAAAATTCTTTAATTATGGGAAAATACACATAACACAAAATTTACCATTCTAATCATTTTTTTAAGTATAAAGTTCAGCAGTATCAAGTATATTCACGTTACTGTACAATTAACCTCCACAATTTTTTCACCTTGTAAAACTGAAACTCTAATTCTATTAGACAATGGTTCCCCACTTCCCTCTTCCCCCAGCCACTGGCAAACCACCAGGCTACTTTCTGTTACTATGTGTATTTGACTACTCTAGACATCTCATATAAATGGAATTGTACAGCATTTGTCTTCTGGTGTCTGGTTTATTTCCCTTGGCATAATGTTCTCAAGGCTCATCCATGTTGTAGCATATGTCAGAATTTCTTTCTTTTTAAGGCTAAATAATATTCCATTTAATGTAAACCTCACATTTTGCTTACCCACTCATCTCTCTCTCTCTTTTTTTAAGATTTTATTTATTTGTCAGAGAGAGAGGGAGAGAGAGCGAGCACAGGCAGACAGAATGGCAGGCAGAGGCAGAGGGAGAAGCAGGCTCCCCGCCAAGCAAGGAGCCCGATGTGGGACTCGATCCCAGGATGCTGGGATCATGACCTGAGCGGAAGGCAGCTGCTTAACCAACTGAGCCACCCAGGCGTCCAGCCACTCATCTCTTGATGGACATCTGAATTGCTTTCATCTTTTAGCTCTTGTGAACAGTGCCGCTATGAACTGGCATGCATATTGTTGTATAAACTGATTTGCTTTTTTCAGCTAGTCTCCACATTATGCAGTAATATTTACCTTAAGGAATACTCAGTCTTTGCCTAGTTTTTTCTAGACGTAGTTTTTTTCTCACCGCCCCGAAACATCTTCTGTAGCTGATTGATCCACAGTTATAGCCAATCTAGGATCACACTTTGCATCCAAATGTTATGTTTAAGTCTCTCTCTGTCTCTCCTTTTTAAACATAGTTTGTCAGGGATGCTGGCTTGTCTCAGGGTCTGTCGTTCTCACCACTCACTTTTTAACCTTTGTAATTTGTCTTCTGACCCATCACTGGGCTAAAGTTACCTCTAAAATTATTTCTAAATAACAAATCCAAACATCGTTTTCTCTGTCTTTATCCACAACTCTATTCTCTTGGCCTCTTGACATTACCGTCCCCTAATTCTGAAGACTCCCGTAAATGCATCCTACTTTATAGCTTTCTTGAACAACTCACTATTTTGGCTAATGCTGTTTACTTCTGTCGGGAATTATGTCCTTCACCTTAACCTCCTTTGTCCTGCATCCTTAATCTCTACCTGTTGAAATTCTAGCCATTCCTCAAAATAAGCTCAAATGTTATTCTTCTTCGAAACCTCCTCTTAAAGTCTCAATAAGAAATTAGTTCTTCAACCTCTTAAATTTGTGTGTGTGTATATGTGTTGAATCTCCATTTCATATTCTCTGTGCAGCAAAGCATTTTGCCTTGTATTATAATAATTATTATTTTAAAAAGGGTTTATTTATTTATTTGACAGAGAGAGACACAGCGAGAGAGGGAACACAAGCGGGGGAGTGGGAGAGGGAGAAGCAGACTTACCACTGAGCAGGGAGCCCAATGCGGGGCTTGATCCCAGCACTCTGGGATCATGACCTGACCCGAAGGCAGACTCTTAGCGACTGAGCCACCCAGGCGCTCCTGTATTATAATTATTGTCATGGCTGTCTTATCTATTATTCTGGCCTTAAATTTCATAATGGTAAAAATGAGTCTTCTACCTAAGTGCTTGTTCTACCGAAGTTAGCACAATGGATTCTATGACATAAAGATCAAAGATGACTTCAGTGCATGGATGTTCATGTTTGGGGTTTACTTTATTTTCTTTTTCAACTAAATTTAAAATTTTTATTATTGTCCACTTAATCCATTAAATACGCTGTCTCTTCTAACTTCCCTTTTGGTTTCCAGCTTCCAGTTCTTACTGGCTATAATAGCATTTTATGTTTCCTTTCATAGAGTCCCAAAATATTTTCGTGACTTGGAATTCTGCTGAGCTAACCAAATGCTGTCATAGGGTCTTACGTGATTAGCAGAAGTTAAAATAACTGAGTCAACAAAATAATAGAAAAGAAGAAGTGATTCTCATTCTCCCTCTCTGTAGCCTTATGCACTCAAATACTCAAGTCTTATCAGGACCCCTTCTTTCCTTGCTGGGCATAGCAGCTACCCTGGTCCACTGTCCTGCTCCAGTATACATAGTCATGCCAACATCTGTGAAGTACTGAGAGAAGGATAGAATCAGAGAAGCTAGGACTGAAAAGAAACATAGCAATTATTTTTCCTTGTCTCTAGTTTTATTTTGCAGTTTTTGACACAGAAACTCAGCAAATTAGGGGACTGTCACATATTTACAACTAGGAGGGTTATAAGATCTTAAGTCCAATAATCTTTCTACTACAAAGAACCACAGAACTAAAAAGGCTTCAGTATTGTTATTATTAACAATAACATGGGAAAGTTACCGAGAGCTGCACAAACTGAAGTAATAAAGACTGAAAAGAAAGTCATCTGGGTGGGTCATTCTGTTAAGCAACTGACTCTTGATTTTGGCTCAGATCATGATCAGATCATGATCGAGCCCCGCATTGGGCAGGGTCTGCTGGAGATTCTCTCCCTGTGCCCCTGCCCACTCCCCCTTGTGCTCTCTCTCCCCCCTAAAATAAATAAATAAATATTTCAAAAAAAGATTAAAAAAGAGCAAGATTCCAATATAAATAGAGCCATAGGTATGAACTATATTTTAAATATCATATAACATCTGCCTTGAAAGTATGTATAAATCAGTCTTAAAAATCTTTCAGAATGAACAAGATCACTTTTTACATTTCTCCAAGTGTTTTGGCTGAAAGATACCTCTACATTTGCGACTGGTAGAACACTTTCTTTCTCTTTCCTTCTTTCTTTCTTTTTTAGTTTTCAATACTACATTGGCCAAAAGTAGTTAAAAGGATAAAGACATTCCTGAAACTAAAACTCAGTTATAACAGGACAAGAAAGTAGATTCCAGAATCAAATACTAATTTGATACTAATTTGAGACAGAGTTGGTAACAATAAAGAATAAGTACTGGGTGGCTCAGTGGGTTAAGCCTTTGCTTTTGGCTCAGGTCATGATCTCAGGGTCCTGGGATCAAGCCCTGCATCAGGCTCTCTGCTCAGCAGGGAGCCTGCTCCCCCCACCCCCGCCTGCCTCTCTGCCTACTAGTGATCTCTGTCTGTCAAATAAATAAATAAAATCTTAAAAAAAAAGAATAAGCAAAAGAATTAAACAAAGAGGAAATAGGAGTGAGAAAAAAATATATATAAAAAGGCTACTGACTTGAAGAATTAGCTATTGTGAAAAGCTGGACTCAAAATTCAGAAAGAGACACGCCGATTTAAGAGGAAAAAATGGCATAAAATTCACTATTTGTTCTAGAATGAAAATATGAAGAATGAAGATAATTTAGAACATGGGATATTCAGTAAAAGAAAGGTGAATATGGAGATAAAACCAAAGAAAGAAAAGTTGGGGAAAGAATGGGGGGAAGAGGAGATAATGACCCTCAAATCATTATCAATAATAAGCAGAAACAGCACAAGTTGTCTGGTGAATGTAGGTTTTCTTACCAAAA